GCGACACGTCAACGGCCTGGCGGCGCACCACACCACCGGAACCGACACGGGTCGAGTCCTCACGGGGCGCACCCTTGGACACGGCATCGATCACCACCTGCAGGGGGTTCTGGTCCGTCAGCAGGTGGATGATCTCGAGCGTGTGCTTCACGAGGCGCACAGCCTGGAGTTTCTTGCCGTTGCCGCGACCCTTGAACATCAGGCCATTCGTCAGGCGCTCCACAATAGGGATGCGGGCCTTGCGAAAGCGCTTCTTCTGCCAGCGGCCTGCGGAGTGCGGCACGTAGGTTGCCGTCTTCGCGATGTGGTCGCTAAGAGCGATCTCCGTCGTCTGGAGATTCTCGAACGACCACTTGTTGAACAACTTCGGGACCTTTGCGCTCATGGTGGTTATCTAATGGAATAGTACCCAAATAATAAAAGCAGGAAAAAAAATACATTGAAAAAACAACAAAAAGAGGAATACGGAAAACGTGGTTTGTTTTTGTTGAAGTTGCTTTTTTTTGTAAAAATAGACAAATCGATGAGCATAATGTCATTAACGAATACAAAAGACGAATATAAAAAAGAGGGGAACACTTCACGGTCTTGTACTTTCATTCTCTCTATCCCCCCGCCGTTCTTGTTAACCGAGAAAAGAATAAACAAACGGAAGGAATGTGATCCAATAAAAACGAGGCTTGGCAGGAAGAAGAAAGAACCAACAAAATGAATTGACGCCGACAGTAAACTGGGTAGTTAAAAAAAATTGTCCTCACCTCCGCTGCCTTCCGGCCCATCTAAGTCACCGCCGTCGTCATCGTCATCGACTTGAAAGGACAATGATGCCTCATCATCCTCTCTGTCATAACCGCCACCACTTCCATCCTCATCATGGTCGTCGTTCTCACGCTTTATTTGCGTCTTTTTGTTACCTTCAAGTTCCTCCTCTTCACCCACAACTCGCCTTGCTTTTTTTATTTCGTCAGCGTCTTCGGCGCCAGCGAGAGGGAGAACAACCACCTTCGTACCTCGACGTATCGGTTTCACAATGCGCTTTCGCTTGACAGGACGAATGCGAAGGCGATCCATTGCGGCGGATGTTATCTCGCCACTACGTTTTCCCAGTCCATATATTCTGAGTTCTGCTGGAAGTCCCAGTGCTTCCTCCAAGTGACGCATTTGTTGTTCTCCAAGGGGGGAAATAGGCGGTGCGTTTTTGTCAGTTATAGAGTGCTCGATGTTCTGATCTTTTCTGTCAATTCCAAGCAAACTTGGATAGTGCAGCACATTAAGAAGTTCCTTTCCGGAATCCAAAACTGCAAAGGCACGGGAATTCGCAAGATATTGCTCACCATCAATAAAGCAGCCCACAAAGTCGCGAAGATATGGCGGAGTCTTTTTATCCATGATTGTGCTAACGCCATGAGGAAGCCCCTCTCGTAGACGTGATTCGCCAACACCATCATCAATGCTCGGGACAATGATTGTCGCCAAGGAAGGTGCGGTATTGCTAGGTTGTTGCGTATAGTGATGGTACACGCGAGGAGGATAAAGTGCTTCTGAATAGCTATTAACTGCCCCTGGTTGCGGAACCTTGTCAAACCGCCCCCTTCGAAAACCCCCACGCATATCTGGGTGGTATTCTCTCTTTTAAAATGGTTTATTCAAGAAACAGAAAACAAACAAAACAAGCATGAACAAGAATAAAAAATATATATATATATAAGCGCTAGACAATCCACAGCCAGCAGCAGCGTCAGGTAATCTCATTTTGCCTTTGCTCTTCTTAGCATCCCAAACCTCATTTTCCTCATGCTTTTTTTATTCTGTTCCTTCTGAATCCATGCGTAAAACCACTGAAGAAACTTCCCTGCACCTTATGGCGAAAGAAGCCCCGAGAAAGGTAAAGGTGCTAAAGGCCCTACGCGTTGCGGCCCCCGCCGCTAATCCCGGTAGCAGCAATGTGAAATAAAAACAACTAAAAGATTAAAGATACAAATCTACTTGACAACATCCCAAGAGCCAGAAAGAAAAGAAATATATACTGACACTTCATGTAAAGGCAAACATAATTCAAAAGTTTTTTTTTTTTGCTTCTTTCTATGCCCATATTTTTATAAAAACAAATAAATATATGCAGGCACAGGTATTATTGAAGAATACGTAAAGAGTAATATGAGTCCAATATCACTTTATTTTCGACGAAGGATCCTGCAGCAAGAATCACCTACAAAGTAACGAAATTTCACCTCATGGGGTCTCCACAACAGAAGCGGTGTCCCCTAAGGCTCTAAACGATAAATAGCGAAGAAAAGTACAGTCAGATGCAGAATAAATAACTAGTTTTGTGTCAAAGAAATTTCAACAAGTCGCCTCTCCCAATGAAACTGCACCAAAAAAGAGATGGTTAGGAATGCATTCAACGGGTCGCCCCCATAAGTTAAGACTGACGATGACAGACCAAGCCTGTCACTGCAGAGATGTTCTCTCTGTAATAACTGCTAGAAACCATCTACTATTACATCGCATGCGTCAATTTCGGGGATAAACCCGTGAAGAAGTAATCAATATATATATAAGCATCTATTTGGCATGTTGCTTATTTATTGCTTACCCAATCGTTGTTGTTTTTTTATTATTACTATTTGCTCAATTTTTCATGGGACTTTTGCTTGAATGTATGCGTATGCGGCAAATAGAACAAATAATTTTGTATATAAATGATATACGTGCTGCTTTATGTAACATCAATTTGCTTTGCATCAGACACACGATCTGTAATAATAGAAACTGGCAGCAACGTGTCAAACTGGGCGCAGTGACCAAAAGCAAAGGTCAAAACGCCCTCATATTATTATTATTATTATTATTGGCATTAATTGCTACTATGATTATCAATGAATATTTCTTATGGTTCAGAGTGAATACATTTTAGAGGTCGCTATTTGGTAAATTGTTACCTCTTCTAGTCAGACGCATATGCATATAGTTTTCTCCAACAAAATGTAATTTTCAAAAAAAACCATCGACATACAATTCATAATAGCTTGAAACTGCAGGTACGCACAGAGAATAAATGCTTCCTTCTTGCGTTCATAATT